CTCTTGCGGCGTCGTTGTCGTCGTCGTCGTCGTCGTCGCCGTCCTCCCTCCTCCCGCGTCATCGTCGTCGTCGCCTACGTTGTCCTCTGTCTTTCCTCGTGTTCGTCGTCGTCGTCCTCTTTGGCGTCGTGGTCGTTTTCGTCGTCGTTGTCGCCATGGTCGTCCTTCCTCCTCCTCCCTCGTCGTCGTCGTCGTCCGTCGTCGGCGTCTCGTCGTCGTCCTTCCTATTTCGTCGCCGTCGTCGTCGTCGTTGTCGTCGTCGTCTCGTCGTCGTCTTCCCTCCTCCCTCGTCGTTGTCGTCGTCGGCGCCGCCATCCTTCCTCCTTCTTCGTCGTTCGCGTCGTCGCCGTCCTCCCTCCTCCCTCGTTGTCGTCGTTGTCGTCGTTTCGTTGTCGTCGTTGTCGCCGTCTTCGTCCTCCCTCCTCCCTCGTCGTCGTCTTCGTTGGCGACGTCGTCGTCGTCTTCGTCGTCGTCGTCGGCGTCGGCGTCGTCGTCTTCGTCGTCGTCGGCTTCGGCGTCGTCGTCGTCGCCGCCGTCGTCGTCGTCGGCCGTCTTGCTTCTCTGGCCTTCTTGGGGCGCTCTTGAGACGCCCCCGAGGGCTCCAAGACGACCCCAGAGCGATATCTGTGCTCGGTCCCGCATGGGTTTTGCAAACCAAGTTGCGGGTGGGTGGGTGGGATGATTGCGCGAGCAGTGGAGTTGACAACTTTCAGTTCGGCAAGTGAATTCTCCCTTCTGAATAGAGAATAGACTCTACCCCCCCGGACTTAACGCCTCCACCTGGGATAATATAATTTCATATATATATATATATATATATATTCTGCACACTCGTCCATCCTAAATATGAAATCATATCATCCCAGCCAAACCGTTATCCCCCCCCTGAGGTTCCCTAGTAAAAAAACGATGCGGTGACATTTTTTGTTCTTGCCTAACATTTTTCAAGAATCCCTTGCAACAAATGGGACGAAGTGCACACGCGCGCGTCGTCGCGCGCGCATGCCGAAATCCTTCAAAAACCTTCGGTGCCGGAAGGATTTCGCAATCGAGTTTCCAAAACAAACATACAAAAAACACAGGGTTTCGCAACACTGATTTGCTAAAAAAGCTTCCGCGCGAGCTCTTGCGAAATCTTAAGAAAACCATAGGTTTTCAAGATTTTCACAAAATGCTACCAAACGGGCGTCGCGCGCGCGCATGTCGAAATCTGTCGAACGCCCTTGCGCGTGTGCCGTCGCGAGAATCCTCTGCAAACAACGGGACGAAGTGCAGAAGCGCGCGTCGTCGCGCGCGTACGCCGAAATCCTTCAAAATCCATCGGTTTCGGAAGGATTTCGAAATCGCGCGTCCAAAAAACTTACAATAACACAAGGTTTCGCAACACGGATTTTCAACAAAAGCGTGCGCGCGCGATCTTGCGTCGTCGTCGTCGTCGTCGCCGTCCTCCCTCCTCCCGCGTCGTCGTCGTCGTCGTCGCCTACGTCGTCCTCTGTCTTTCCTCGTGTTCGTCGTCGTCGTCCTCTTTGGCGTCGTGGTCGTTTTCGTCGTCGTTGTCGCGTGGTCGTCCTTCCTTCTCCTCCCTCGTCGTCGTCGTCGTCCGTCGTCGGCGTCTCGTCGTCGTCCCTCCTATTTCGTCGCCGTCGTCGTTGTCGTCCTCGTCGTTGTCGTCGTCGTCGTCTTCCCTCCTCCCTCGTCGTTGTCGTCGTCGGCGGCGCCGTCCTTCCTCCTTCGTCGTCGTTCGCGTCGTCGCCGTCCTCCCTCCTCCCTCGTCGTTGTCGTCGCTGTCGCCGTCGTCGTCCTCCCTCCTTCCTCGTTGTCTTCGTTGGCGACGTCGTCGTCGTCTTCGTCGTCGTCGTCGGCGTCGGCGTCGTTGTCGTCTTCGTCGTCGTCGACGTCGGCGTCGTCGTCGTCGCCGCCGTCGTCATCGTCGTCGTCGTCGTCGTCGGCGTCGTTGACGTCGTCGTCGTCGGTGTCGTCGTTATCGTCGTCGTCGGCGTCGTCATCGTCGTCGTCGTTATCATCGTCGTCGTCGTAGGCGTCGGTGTCGTCGTCGTCGTCGGTGTCGTCGTCGTCGTCGTCGTCGTTGTCGGCGTCGTCGAAGTCGTTGGAGACGTCGTCGGTGTCGTCGTAGTCGTTGTCGGCGGCGTCGTCATCGTCCTTGTCGCTGTCGTCGTCGGCATCGCTGTTGTTGCCAAGTGCCATGTGGTACCCACCGTCACGCTCTTAAGAGATTTTGCAAACCAAGTTGCGGGTGGGTTGGTGGGATGTTTGCACGAGCAGTGGAGAGGACAGCTTCAAGACGGTCAAAGTGGATTGCACCACATAGATTGCACCGCTTAGACTGCACAACACGCCTTGCACAACATGGATTGAACCACCTAGATTGCACCACATGGCTTGCACCGCATATCTTGCACATAGAAAGCACAGCATATACTTGTACCAGATCGGGTACACAAGATGCATTTCACCAAATAGATTCTACCACGTAGATTATACAACCCAGATATTACAACAGATGTTGCACAAGACAGCGTGCACAACATATACGAAACCACATCCTTTCTAACAAACAAAGGTTCTACCACCCTCCCCCCCCGAGGTTGAAGACCCCCCGGGAACCGATGCAAAACACATCGGATTCTGACCCAATGTCCACCCGACCTGTGGATTCATACGATCCCAGCCGGACCGGTGTCCACCCCCCCGCCATCCTCTGCAAAAAATACTATGCGCGCAAACTCGTTTATCAAAGATTATAAATGTTCAAAAACCCCTTGCCAAAAATTGGGCGAAGTGCAAACGCGCGCGTCGTCGCGCGTACATGCCGAAATTCTTCAAAATCAGTCGGTTTCGAAAGGCTTCCGAAATCGAGCTCCCAAGAAACACACACAAAAAACAAAATGACAGGCTTTCGCAACACTGATTCCCTAAGAAAACTGACGCGCGCATTCTGGCGAAATCTTAGGAAAACCATACGTTGTTCAAGATGTACAAAAAAATACTGCCACACGGGCTTCGCTCGCGCGCATGTCGAAATCATTCGAACGCCCTCCCGCGAGTGCCGTCGCGAGAATCCTCGGCAACAAACGTGACGAGGTGCACGCGCGCGCGTCGTCGCCTGCGTACGCCGAAATCCTTCCAAACCTTCGGTTTCGGAGGGAATCCAAAATCGAGAGTCCAAAAAACATACAAAAATACAGGGTTTCGCAACAAGGATGTTCAACAGAAACGTGCGCACGCGATCTTGCGACGTCGTCCTCGTCATCGCAGTCCCTCCTCCCTCGTCGTCGTCGTCGTCGCCGTCGTCGTCCTGTGTCTTTCCTCGTCGTTGTCGTCGTCGTCGTCTTAATCTTTGGCGTCGTCGTCGTTTCCGTCGTCGTTGTCGCCATTGTCGTCCTTCCTCCTCCCTCGTCGTCGTCGTCGTCCGTCGTCGTCGTCTCGTCATCGTCCCTCCTGCTTCGTCGCCGTCGTCGTCGTCGTCTTCCCTTCTCCCTCGTCGTTGTCGTCGTCGGCGTCGCCGTCCCTCCTCCTTCTTCGTCGTTTGCGTCGTCGCCGTCCTCCCTCCTCCCTCGTCGTCGTCGTCGACTTCGTCGTCGTCGTCTTCTTCGTCGTCGTCGTCGTCGTCATCGGCGTCGTCGTTGTCGTCGTCGCCGTCGTCGTCGTCGTCTTCATCGTCATCGTCGTCGTCGTCGGCGTCGTCATCGTCGTCGTCGTCGGCGTCGTCATCGTCGTCGCCGTCGTCGTCGGCGTCGGCGTCGTCGTCGTCGTCGGTGTCGTCGTCGTCGTCGTCGTGGTCGTCGTCGTCGACGAAGTCGTTGGAGGAGACGTCGTCGGTATCGTCGTAGTCGATGTCGGCGTCGTCGTCGCCGTTGTCGCTGCCATCGTCGGCGTCGTTGCCAAGTGCCATGTGGTACTTACCGTCACGGTCTTAAGAGGTCTCGCGACCGAGTTGCGGGTGAAATGGTGGGATGTTTGCACGAGCAGTGGAGAGGACAGCTTCAAGTTGAGCACGTGCTTGATTGCACCTCGTAGGTTGCACCGCATATTTTGCTAGAAACATACTGCTAAGGAACACTACATATGTGTGTGTCCGTAAACGTACATATATATACATGCACGCGTGTGTATGTATACACACACATATATGGCTGTTCGCCTTCCCCTCCGATTCCAAAAGTCGTTTATGTCTGTGTGCACATTGCTCCCTCCTGACTGACGTTTCTGGGAGGTGTTCGAAAGGTGTTCGACATTGTTCGGCCCCCCAGATGGTACCCCTTAGCTGCGCCTCGTCGCGGGCGTGCCAGGGACGCCAGGGATCGAGGATCGTCCCGATCGACCGCCTGAGACCCGAGCTATCGCCCGAAGACGGGCTGAGGATGGGCAGACGGGACAACGGCGGCACTCCGGAGGGTTCTGGTGCCGATTCTGAGCGGATTTGGGCCGGGCGGGATTCCAAGACTCCAGGTGGGCCTCGCGCGCGTCCGCGGAGGGGCACGAGGTCCGGGAGAAGGAAAAGGGCCACCGACGACGACGATGAGGAAGACGAACGACGACGGCGAGAAGGATAAACGACACGACGACTTCGACGGACGAACGGACGCAGCAACGCGAACGACGACTCCGACGACGACAGTTGTGGTCACTGTCTTCTGAAGAGCAGGGGGCCTCCGATGGAATCCAGGGTGCCCCCTGCTCACAGACGTGCCGCTCTACAGAACAATCAGAACATCTCAACAATCCGAACACTTACACACAACATGTGCCGACGTGTAATTTCGTGAATGAGTAGCTAATTAGATAGTTGGAGGACGGACTGGCGAATTGATGGGTTGAATGATGAATGGATTGACCTTCCGACGTATGCGTGTTCAAATGGATCGTATGAGCGAGCCGAAATAATTTAGGCCTGCAATGACAACCACATGTCATGAAACGGCGTTGAAGGAGATGACATCATGAACTCGATTGCCATACACTTTACACTTGACGTGAAGCGAATGGCGGGGGAGCCGAAGAAAAGAGCGAATGCGTGAACGAATGAAGGCATCAGAAATGCTCAGAACGAGCGAGTGGTGGGTAAGGGGGTGGATCTCACGCCCCACTTCTCTGAAACACTTCTTCAAACGGTTGCGGTGGCCTCGGCAGCACTCGCCACAGCCCAGGCGTCAAGCCTGGCCGCGTGTGCCCCCGCCTCCGGGCGGCCAGGCCAGCGGTATTCCAAAAAAACTCGCCCGTAGGCGGAGAGGCGACGGCGTGACCGGCTCTCACAAAGAGCAGCCGGTGCTCGGGGATGAGCAGAGGGGTACGCCTGATCGCGCGAGGTCTCCGTAGCTCGTGTGCTCTCATCCTCCCTACACCTCTTCTTTGAAATAAGGACTCTTTAAGCTAAGAAAACGGACTCCGCTCCGAACTTTCCCTCGAACAATAGTTTGGGTCCAGGTGTACGAAAAACTCACGGGCAAAAGCTGTAACAAAGAACCCCGGGTCTAGTCCACATTTTCTTTTCAAGCGAAATCTGGAATCCATGGGACATGATTTCTGCAGATTTCTGATGGGTGTATGAAAATATTCGGAAGAAGGCCGATTGAGAGAACGGGGATTCTCCCGCTGGGCCCAAATCCAAGCAAAATGAACTCCGGGACCCCTCCCGAAGTCGATCCTGACTTGTTTTTCGGAGCGGATCCAGCCGTGGCGACGCGAAGCTTCCACGGGGGGTGTGCGGCGCGCGGCCAAATTCCGAACCGGCTGGAATTTCCGACCAAACAATACACACGTCAGCCAACGCGTACCGCAAACATTGTTTCTAGCAGCGTATGGTGTGCAACTTATGGCGTGTCACCTCTATTGTGGGATTTACGCTGTGCAACTTATGTGGTGGAATCTACGTGGTGCCACCAATCTTGACCGTCTTGAAGCTGTCCTCTCCACTGCCCGTGCAAACATCCCACCCTCCCACCCGCAACTTGGTCGCAAGACCTCTTCAGACAAGACCGTGACGGTAGGTACCACATGGCACTTGGCCGCGACACCGATGCCGACGACGACAGCGACATCGACGACGACGGCGCCGCCGACAGCGACTGCGACGACACCGACGACGTCTCCAATGTTTTCGACGGCGACAACGACGACGACGACACCGACGACGACGACAACGACGCCGACGACGACGACGAAGACGACGACGACGTCGCCAACGGAGACGACGACGAGGGAGGAGAAAAAACGACGACGGCGACAACGACGACAACGACGATGGAGGAGGGAAGACGGCGACGACGCCAACGACGAAGAAGGAGGAAGGACGGCGACGCCGACGACGACAACGACGAGGGAGGAGGGAAGACGACGACGATGACAACGACGACGAAGACGACGACGACGGCGACGAAATGAAAGGACGACGACGAGACGCCGACGACGGACGACGACGACGAGGGAGGAGGATAACGACGAGGGAGGAGTGAAGAACGACGACGACGACGACGACGACGACGGCGACGAAATAGGAGGGACAACGACGAGACGCCGACGAAGACAACGAGGGAGGAAGGACGACCTCGGCGACAACGACGACGGAAACGACGACGACGCCAAGACGACGACAACGACGACGAGGAAAGACAGAAGACGACGACGACGACGACGACGACGACGACGAGGGAGGAGGGAGGACGACGACGACGACGACGACGCAAAAGCGCGCGCGCACGCTTTTGTTGAAAATCCGTGTTGCGAAACCTTGGGTTCTTGTAGGTTTTTTGGACGCACGATTTCGAAATCCTTCTGAAACCGATGGTTTTTGAAGGATTTCGGCATACGCCCGCGACGACGCGCGCGTCTGCACTTCGTCCCGTTTTTTGCAGAGGATTCTCGCGACGCCATACGCGCAAGGGCGTTCGACAGATTTCGACATGCGCGCGCGCGAAGCCCGTTTGGTAGCATTTTGCGAAAATCTTGGAAAACCTATGGTTTTCTTAAGATTTCGCAAGACCTCACGCGGAAGTTGTTTTAGAAAATCAGTGTTGCGAAACCATGTGTTTTTGTATGTTTTTCGGAAACTCGATTGCGAAATCCTTCCGGCACCGAAGGTTTTTGAAGGATTTCGGCATGCGCGCGCGACGACGCGCGCGTGCGCACTTCGTCCTATTTTTTGCAAGGGATTCGTGAACAAATGCAATGTTAGAACAAAAAATGTCACCGCATAGTGTTTTTTACAAGGGGCCCGCAGGGGGGGGGGAACCCGGCTTGGCTGGGATAGTACGAATTCATATTTAGGATGGACATGTGGTCAGAAACATATGTAATTTACAGCACGCGCGGGGTAACCGATAAGTCCAGGGGGGGGGTAGAATCTATTAGTTTTTTTCAGAAAAAGGAGAATCCATCAACGCTTTACTTGAAAATGTCCACTCCACTGTTCGCGCAAACGTCCCACCCACCCACCCGCAACTTGGCTTGCAAACCCCATGCGGCGGCGATTGCGATGAGTGGTTGGCGCTGGCTGGTGCATCTCTGCGGCCGCGACAGCCCGCGCGTGCACGCGCGCGAAGCGGCCAGCTAGTTTGGCCCGACCGACGCAGCCGCGGTGGCGCTGACCGCTGAACGCGTCCCAGCGGGCACTTCAATGCAAGTCGTCGAATTGGGCGGCGTGCGGTGTCATGGCAACGTCGACAACGGTAGACACGGTGATGATAAATGGTAGCGATGATGGCGACGATGCTGACAGCGACGACGGCACGGCCAGTGACGGCGCGGATGCTGATCACGCCGACGACGACGACGACGGCGTCCTCGCGTCGGTGATGAAGGTTTTGGAGAGAATTCGGCAAACGCACGCGGCCGACGCGCGAGAACGGCCCGCATGATGTGATTTGACACGGATCGTGCCCTCCCAACACGCGCGCAAGGGCTCGCGAATGATTTCGGCACGCGGCGCCAGAGGCCCGTCTGGCAGAATTCGGTGAACATGTTGAAAGCCCACGGCTTTCTTTAAGAAGTCGCAAGAGCGCGATTACACGCTGCTTTGAAAGTTGATGTTACGAAATCATTTGTTTTGTTTTGTTTTGTGTTGACTCGGTTTTGAAATCGCTACGACACCTACGCGCGCCCCACGCTGTGCTACATACGCAGTGCAATATTTATCATGCAATCTAGCCTGGTCAATATTTGTGGTGCAACCTACGTGGCGCAGCTACCTTTGACAAACGAGTTTACTTATCCCACGTTCTTGCCAAAATCCGATCCACCCACCCGCAACTTGGTTTACAAAATCCATGCGGCGGCGATTGCGATGAGTGCTTGGCGTTGGCCGGTGCATCTCCGCGGCCGCGCCAACCCGTGCATGCGCGCGCGCAGAGCGGCCAGCTAGTGCGGCGCGACCGACGCGGCCGCGGCGGCGCTATCCCAGCGAGCGCTTCACTGCGAGTCGGCGACTTGGGCGGGCGCGGTATCACGGCAGCGTCGACAAAGGTAGACAGGACGATGGTTGTAGCGATGCCGGTGACGAATCTGACGCCGACGACGGCACTGCCAGTGACGGCGCCGATGATGATCGCGCCGGCGACGACGACGGCGCCCTCGCGTCGGTGATGAAGTGGTTTTGGAAGAAGTTTGATATGCGCGCGCGGCCGACGCGCGAGTCGCCCGCATGGTAGGATTTGACACTGATCGCGCCCTCCCCGCACGCGCGCAAGGCCGTCCGAATGATGTCGGCATGTGGCGCGAAAGGCCCGTTCGGCAGAAGTCAATTAAACATTTGACAGAACACCCTTGTTTTATAAAGGATTCGCCAGGGCGCGAGCGCATGCTTTCCTGCAAAATGCAGCGGCCCATTTGTTTATTGCTTGGGGCATGACGGGCGTCATGCCCCCCCCCCCCCCTATGACGCAACGCCCCCCCCCCCAAAGTGCGCTGCGGGCACGGGCGCTGCCGTCGTGTGCATTGGGGTCCGCGTAGGTGCCCGCGTAGGAATCTGCATAGGAGTCTTGTCCACTGTCGTCGTCGTCGTCGTCGTCGTCGCTCGTGGCTCGTGGCTCGTCGCACATCGTCGTCGCGCGCGCGGACGCGGCTGGAACCTGTTTTTGATTCTGGGCCGACGACGGCAATCGACAGGGCGGGGTGGAGGGGGTCGATGACGTCACGTTTCGCGCCGGCGGCGTTTGGGAACGCCCAGGAATAGAAAAAGGACGGGTCGTACCAGCATGTCGGTGGCGATCTGCACCGCAACGCCTGTGTACACCACAGTGCCTGCGTGCACCACAACGCCTGTGTGCACCGCGCCGAGTATGTACACCACAGCAACCGCGTGCAACACAGCGTCAGTTGGTGCCACCGTGCCTGCGGGCACAACAGCTCTTGTGTACACCAAAACGCCTGCGTACACCACATCAGCCGTGCGCAACACAACACCAGTGTACATTACAATGCCTGCGTGCGTTGCAGTGCCCGTGCGCACCACGGCGCCTGCGTGCACCGCAGCAACCGTGTGCAACACAGCACCATTGCTGCATATAGAATGTTACAAGTAAGCTGTATGAGAAAATGGAGCGCTTGTGGATTTCACAGAAAACGAAACAAAATAATCCTCATGGACGAAGGAGCACCACTGGAATCTACGAGTCCTCCCGAATCCGCCCGCACCACCCTAACTCCTCCCACGTGAGTCCAGGAAGCCCCAGCTAAATTGGCCGTCCGAGAACCAAATGGACCGACTCAATAGACATTCGCGGTGCACGCTGAGATGCGCACGCGCGCTGCAGCGCCAACCCGCACGACAGGGGGTAAGGAAGGGGAGGGGAAGGAAGAGGAAAAGGAAAAAAAGGTGAAGGTGGAAAAAAAGGGAGGAGGGAGAAACGTCGCATTCGATTATCAACGCTTTCCTGGCGTGGCGTTTAATTGTCCGCAGCAGATCCTCACATACATGCTCCTTCTATCTTTCCTATGCACGCAGGCACTGTGGCGTGCACCAGCGCTGCGTTGCACGCGGATGTTGCGGTGTAAACAAGCGGCGTGGCGTGCACAGGCGCTGTGTTGCACGCAAGCATTGTGTGGTGTACACAGGCGCTGTGTTGCACGAGGTTGCTGCGGTGTACACATGTACACCGGCGCTGTAGTGTGCGCAAGCACTGGTGTGCACTGGCGCTGCGTTGCACACGGTTGTTGCGGTGTGCGCAGGCGCTGTGGTGTACACGCGCGCTGTGGTGCACGCGAACGTGGTGGTGTACACAGGCGCAGTGGGGCAGATTGCCACCTGCGTGAAGCTCGCTCGTCGTCGTCGTCGTCGTCGTCGTCGTCGTCGCGTCGCGCCGCGCGCGGGCGCGGCTGTGGAGCTGGGGCCACGCG